TGCCAAGTCCCTGTGGTGAAGGAGGGGCAGCAAACAGCCTGGGGTGGGGCAGGCTGGCAGTACGAGGGGCTCAGCCTGGTCCCTATGCCACCAGTGCCCTGAGCCCATGGGTGAGAATGGACATCACCACTGGGAATGCTGATGGGCCTTGAGAGCTGTGGAGAGCAAGAGACACTGCTGAACACGGGCAGGGGCATTAGGGTGGTGTTGTATCTCCTTCTCTACCCCCTGCCATAGGCAGGGACACCTTCCACTATCCCAGGTTGCTCCAAGCCCCGTCCAAATTGGCCTTGAACACTTTCAGGGATGGGGCAGCCACAGCTTCTCTGGGCAACCTGTGACAAGGCCTTACCACCCTCATGGGGAAGAATTTTTTCCCAATATCCCATCTACCCCTGCTCTCTGGCAGTACAAAGTGATTCCCCCTTGTCCTGTCACTCCATGCCCTGTCCAGCTCCCTTGGAGCCCCTTCAGACACTGCAAGTTGCTACAGTCCCATTTGCTGGGCATAAAATAACTGCTGTTTCCCCTTTTCCCCTCCTGTGGAGCAGCAGCAAGAAGGGGTGGATGGAGCAGCTCATCCTGGCACTCTCCCATGACAACTTGACAGAGGGGTACACAGCTACTCCTGAAACGGGGCATCCTGGGACCCAGGCAAGCATCCCACGGGCCAGCTGGGAATCTTAAGTGCTCTGTCACCACCCCAGCCGTCCCTGTGTGCTCTGGCACTCCCTCCCATCCGAAAAGCCAAGGCAGCAGCCCGTGGGTACCGTTCGCACATAGAGTTCTTGGCTGACCCTCAGCTGGCCCCAGCCCACCTTCACCAGCCCTGCACAGCCAGAAATGACTGTGAGAGCACACTGAATTCCTGTGACTCCACTGACCCCTCCAGCCTGTTTTGGCTGCTGTTTACTCCCCAAGCTGCACACACAGGTTGCTCAGTTTGCAGACAGCGGGACAGGAGGCCAGCCAGGAGCACCCAGTACTGCCCAACAGCTAATTCAGACTGAGGCATTATGGTTATTTTAAGCACTAGAAGGTGATTTTAAGGAGGTTGTGTGTGTAGCACGACCTGGCTACTGCTGCCCGTGTTTGCAGCACCCACCTCTGACCTGCCCTCAGCATGCCAAGCAGCTGCTCATAACCCCAGCACAGCAGGGCCCTCACACAGGGAAGGCTTTGAACAATACAGGGGACACAGATGAGACCAACGGACAAATAAAACAGAGGAGAAAAAACACAAGCAAACTCCAGTCAAGGTGTTGGTTATCTACAGCAATACCTCCACACCACAGGCTGTCCAGGCAGAGCTGCCACAGCACTGTGCTTCTCTTAAAAGGTTTAAAACCCACAGCCTTAAATATTTCGATTTTCATGATCATGTATTTTAGTTTGAAAACTTCCTCCACTTCAGCTGAAGTATGTGTCTATGCTACACGGTGCTTTCTCCTTTGGGTTTTGCCATGTTTTCTACACAGGCAGGATAAAGAAATCTGATGGGATAAAGAAACCTGAGGGGACACAGAAACCCAGTGGGATACAGAAACCCAACACTGCTGCTTTGGACACAAATGCCTCCCTGGGGTTTGGTGGCCCCGGGAACCAGCTGCGGTCTCCAGGCACCCACAGCCCAGTGACAGCTCCTGGCACAGGACAGTCCCGCTGACTCACCCAGTACAACTCCTGCCCAGAGCAGTTTTTCCATAAAAATAAACCCAGCCTTAATAAATAAATGCATTCCCATCGTAAAAGCCCGATTGGTGGCTGGGAAGGAAGAGCCTGCGCCCTGCAGCAAAACCATTTCCCTCTGGATTGGTGAAGGAGGACTGTGCTCCAGAGAAGGCATGTCAGAAGGACCCCATTCCCCTGGGGAGGGGGACAAGGGTACCAGCACTGAGGCAGGGGGACCTCATCCCCAGCCACTGCTGTAACACCATCATGCCCAGAGACCAGGGAAGAAGCGACACACGCTCATGAGGGGGATTTAGGAACTGGCGCAGCTCCCGGTGGAGCAGACCTGGGGGATACATGAGCATTTAACAGGGAGCCAAGAGGCTTTTGTAAACAGAAGCTCAAACAAACATCTCTCATTTCACAGATGGTGCTCACAATTTACAGCATTGCACATTTAAAGGCCACCTTGGGCACATCGGTGCTCCCTGCACAAGAAATCCCCCAGACCTGCAGGCCTCAACGCTTGTGCTCCAAGGAGCCTCCCACTAAGACCCACAGGAGTTATTTCCACAAGAACATCGGTTTTCAACTTAGTAAGAAGTAAGAATACCAAAATGACCCAACTCCTTTCCCTGCAGTTCCCCAGTCTGGGTGAGTGCAGGCTCCCAGCTCAGTGGTCAGTCAGCTCGTGGGGGCTGCCAGGAGAGCCAACCCCTCCTGAACGGGGCCTCAACACGATGGCCCTGGTCCACAGCTAAAAAATTACAGAAAATACTGAAGAGTGCAAGAAAAAACCCAAAGTCCTGAAGCAGAGCCCAGAGATGAGTCTCCCAGGACCAGAAGAGAATTTGGCAGTGTTTGAAGGAGCTCAAAGGCCAAGGCACCCCAAGACCCTCCCTGTGGCCACAGTCCCTAATTGTGGGCCTGGTAATTCCAGGGGAGTGCCAGAAACCCTCACATGGCAGCACCAGATGCCACAGCCTGCGGCAGAGCGTGTGGCTGCCCGAGGCTTCCTGCAAAGCCCAGATTACTCAGCTGCTTGGAAAAACAGAAGCAGCTTTATACAGACATTATTTGGGCAGCCCCGCGGAGCAGCGGGGACGGAGCCACTGGACACTGGCACCATTCAGACACCCTGCCCCGACCCAGCCCACAGCCACAGGGCAGGGGTGGGGACAGACCCACTGCTGGCAGCCCTGCTCACTCTCCTCATCCTCACCACTGCAAAGCCACCCCCCCACAATTACTGCCCATGGAGGGCAGAACCCCACGGAGCTGTCAAAACCACAAGCACAGCCTTTGCTCCTGGGCAAGCAGGCACAGAGGGGTGAGTGACGTCTGTACACACAGTTTAATCACAATACAATTAAGTCAGATGCCTCATTGGAAGACTGGATTAAAGGCATTTGATTTAAATATTTGGGGTCATAGAGAATATCTGCCTTGTGGTACTATTCACTTTAACACTTACTTTTCAAACTTCAGCTCAACATGGACCAAAAACTCATGTGTTCCTGCATGTGCACAAATCATCCCATAATCACTGGATTTGAGGAAAAACACTGAATGCCACAAGCACTGTCAGAGCCACAAGCTGCCAGTGCTGCCCTGCTTGGCCCTGTTTTACTTTGCAGAACTAGAGGCCCCTGAACTGGCACATGCACCTGGTTCAGTGCCAGGCTGCTCACCTAATCCCTTGGGAACAGCATGGTGCTTCCGCTCTCCAAAGTGTCACACAGTTTTAACTGATTTATCCTGCTGAATTTCTTTATAACTTCTGTTAAGAAAGAAATTATTAGGAAGAGGCAACTCTTGAAATCTGAAAAACTGTGAATGTGGCAAACAATCCCTGTCAGGTCCCAGCAAGACCTGGGTTCACAAACCTTGCTCTATAAGCCACATCATTTTTTTCTCCTTAAAGGATAAATAAATTAAAACCATCCTACTGGGGGAATGGGACGTGACTGACTCCAGAGCTTCAAGCAGGCATGAGACAGAGATGCATCTTTACTCTGCATATAACACATATAAAGCACGATCTTGATTTGGAAGTGTCCTACCTTTGGATGTTCTATCCTGCCCCCAGAGCGCTTCTGCCAGGCAGCTCACTCGGAGTGGGAAAATCCACAGGGAGCAGGCATGGCGTGGGGCTGGGCCTCACAGTCCTGCTCCCAGGAATGCTGAGGAGAGGTCAGTGTGGTGCTCATGCAGCTGAGGGTTTAGTGGCAGCGATGATGAGGAGGGAGGCAGAGCAGATGATGAAGCTGGATGAAGCCTGTCTTGGCTGCTCCACACTTACCTTCCCGTTGGGAGTACTCAGATGGGCAGGGCCCGTAGGCATCCCACCTGCTGGAGTGAGGGCTGGACCCCAGACCTCCAAACCCAACCCCGGTGCCAGCCAAGCCAACAACAACGAGATTCACCATCTCTGCAGCACCTGCCCTGGCACTTGGCCGAGCCCTCCACCAGCATCCAGCTAAATCAGGAATGTCCCTGTCTGCTCTCAGGGGATGGGGGCTGCTCTGGATGAACAGGAACTGGAAGTGTTTGAGGCCTGTGGGAGGACTGGAGGGGTGGGAAGGAAGGTCTCCCTGAACTGAGAAGGTCGCTGCGTGCAGCGAGGCCATGAGCGGCCGTGGTGGGAGCAGCATTCCCGCCGGCCGATCCGCAGGGATGCGCAGGGGCGTGCCGAGGAGCACCAGGGGGAAACTGGGTTCAGCTCCTGAAGATCTGAGCAGATCTTCACATGACAAGGAGGGGAGGTTCTGTGGGAAAATGCTATCGGGCCTGGCCAAGCCACGGCAGGAAGGAAATTCCCCCAGCGGAGCCGCCATCGCGCGAGGGCTCTGCTGTGGCGAGTTCAGGGACTTCGTAAATAACTCGGCCATCCCCAGGGAGGCATTGCTAAGGTCGCTGTTTTTTCCCTTGAACTTTCCAGATGAAGGAAGCAATAGCAGAAGCAACAGCACAGATTTGGCTGGAGATCAACTGTACTGACAACAGTCAGAGAATTGAACTCAGAAGAAAAGTCCTTTGTGTGTGTTGGAGTTATCACCAGATGGGCTGGGCAGCCCTGGAAGTTCTGCTCAAAAATATTCCACATGGGCAAAACCCCCAGAGCTGGAACTCACTGGCAGATGTAACCCACAGTAACAAATTCCACCGTTTAGACCAAGTTAAAAATGCAGGGCACATGCTTGGTGCCCATTAAAAATTAAAATGTTAAATTGTATTCTTCAGCAAACTGCTGGGATTGAGTAAGTAACAACCCTGATTAAAGATTAAGGATGGAGAGTCCATAAAACACTAATTACCACTGTACTTACAGGGAATTTGGCCTGTTGGGTTTAATTACTTCTAGTTCAAGATCACTTGAGTTCAGGCTGGGCTGGGGAGCGCTGTTGGAGTTGAGGAAGCTGTTTACATTTGAAGAGATGACGGATTCCAGGCTGGAGTTGATGATACTGTTCCTGTTCTCCTCTAAAAAACACCAAAATCCAAGAACCATCAGCTGCCACTGAAGGCAAAGTAAAGAGCAAATGACTGCGAAGGCATCGAGTGTTCCCAGCAAACCCTGCCCCAATGCAAACTGGGAGCATCGACCCAGAGCTCAGAGTTAGTTACAGAGATATTATACATTAAACCACAGAAAATACCAGGTACTCTTTGGTTCTTTTGGTTTTAAGATGCAGGTACATTTAAATAAGCACCATTTTTAGCAAGCAAATACGCACTTTTCTCAATGCATTAACATTTTGTTTTCCCAAAGACATCTAAAATGCCCCAACCTGAAAGAAATTAAAATGCAAACTATGCACAGGAATGGATTTGTGTTACTGAAATCAGCTCCCAAGGGATGGAGTGTTTGGACAACAGAGCAAGACAACACTTTAGATCAAGAACAGGACAGATCACCCTAAGCTGCCTAAGGACCTAAGTTTATCTCAGCAAAAAATGCTTCAGTCTCATACTTGACATCACTACTGTTGCTTGTTCCTGTCCAGGTCTAAAGGGGAAAGGGAATGGAGTCTCTGCTCCATTTCAGCTCAGCTCTTTCAAAATGCAGAGCCATGGTGGGACAAAGACCCGGTTTTGGATCTGGAAAGGAATGGGATGTGTTGGGCATCCCCTGGTGCTGGGATCATTGCTCTGCTGACAGTCCAGAGCTTCTCAGAGATTCCTGTTTCTCTCAATCACATTAAGAGATTTCCTCATTATTTGTGTAACTTCAGCAGTGAGCACTGACAATATTGTGCATCTCAAGCTGACACCACAGCATGGGCCCCTCCTCATCTCTGCCCCAGATCCCCTAAAATCCCATTAACTCATTTCCAGGAGAAGCTTTTTCCATATGAGCAGTAATTGTAATTGTGAGAAGCAATTAGCAACACTGATGGCACGACAGCAGCCCCAGGCAGAGAACTGCTGCTTCTGGGATGATGCTTTCCTGAAAGACAGGCACCTGCTGGAAAACACAGAGAGTCCTACTTCAAGGATATATCTTTCCAAAATTATTTTTCCAGTGCACAATAATATGGTCCAACTACAACCAAAAAGCACAAAGAAATATGGAAATCCTCATTCTCAATCTCCCTTAATTGCTATCTCTGCTTGTGCAAGGAGAACGTGCAATATGCATCCGTATCCTGCGCACATTTAAAGAGGGATAAGAGTGCAAGAGGAACTCCTGGGATATGTGAAAAGTTAATCCTGAGCACACAGCAGAAAGGAACTGCCTGTAAAACAGCCTGGCAGGAGCGTTGTCTCAGAGTGTTGGGGCAGCTCTGCCACTGCTCTAAAGGGAAAAACCACATCAGCCACAGGTTTGTGGATGTCCAGAGCAGGGTCCGATAATCCTTGTCCTGCTCCTTTGCTGGAGCTGCTGCATTTCCCAGATACCTGGACAAAATCAGCACCTACATGGCAGCAGGACAGGGTTAAACCTTGGTTTATCTGAGGTTGAGCTTATCTGCCAGAGATGAGCCAAGGTCAAGGATGTGTTAATTATGTTGATACGCATCAACATGTTCCTGAAATTGGGTTTCCCTGATCTTGATCTGCAATGAGTCACCATGGGGACAAGCAGCACAGACACCTCTCTGTCCCCAACTCTGTGAAAGTTGAAACCTCTGGGTTCAGAGGGCACCAGCACCTTGTGATGAAAAAGATTATCCATGCAGAAGACAAAGATGGAAAAGTAAAGAAAAGCAGAACGCTGAGCTCCACAAGTATTGACATGCAGACATGGGAGCCAGTAGATGAAATGAGAGAGAAATCAAGCTGCCTAAGGACCTAAAAACCCCAAATCCCTCTATTTTTGTGTCTGCTAGAGCAGGTTTTGGGCAGCCTGTGACAGACCACCTAAACACAGATGACCAAGCTCAGGGATTGCTCACGCTGAGCCTGGCTGGACCCAGGGCCGACCTGAGTCCCTGGAGTGTGGACTAACACTACAGCTTATTATTTCCAAACATTTTCTACCCAAGACTGAAGTCCAGGAATAAGCTCCATAAGCCTGACAGATCAGTGTGGATTGTCTGCCTAATCTCCACACCAGCCACCAGCCAATATCAAATTAGAGTCCCCGTCAGCCACAGAACTGGAAGTGTTTCAGCTAAAGGGGAAGGGAGATGAATGGCAGAATCTGAAACTCCTGCTTTATTTTATTTCCTCCTTTTTAAAAGGCTGAAACTGTGTTTTGCTTCATGTTTTTAAATGCTTATGTGAAGGATTCTTTGCTGGGAGGTTTAATTTGGTCTTACAGCTACAAGAGCAGAACTGCCTTTCAGCTAAAGAGCACTTCCAGAGTGCAGAAGGGAGAAGAGCCACTTTGCAAAGAAGAAGAAGAGCAAGAGCTTCTGTTAATAAACCAAACCTGCAACTTCTCTCTTAGACCCCCCCTGGGTCAGTTGTGGGCAAAAATGGGAATGTTTAACAACAAAATAATCACTATAATCATAGATTAAACATAATGATCTAATCCACTCTCTTGCATTACCCTGTCTGTTGAACATGATAATTTTCGACTTACACACAGCTTTGTATGATGAATTCTACTGAAAATTTTACAAAGATATTGGACTTCGATAAACAAATTTCAAGTAATGGAAAATCCACTGTCCCACTTCACTTCTTATGGTAAAATTATTCTCAGTCTTAAAAAATGTGCACCTTGTTCCCCTTTTGAACATTTCTAGCTTCAATTTTCAGCTTTCAATTTCTGTGGTGCTCAGTTGTGTTTGAGCTGCTGCCCAAGCCCTCGTGCTTCAACCTGACTTTGAGCCTTGGCCCATCTCTGGACCAGTTAGAAAGAAAACAAAGAAGAAAGGAAGAAGAAGAAAGGACTAAGAAAGGAAGAAGAAATAAAGAAAAAAGAAACCTCACATTATTCCTCAAGTGACATGTGCAGCAGGGATGGCAAACACCGAATAAAATGGTAGTGGCTTCCCAAAGATACAGGAGGAAAACTGAGAAAACATTGCTTCATTTGGGAATAAATAAATGCAGAAATAAACACATGAGCTCAGTTCCTCTTCCAGGCATGGGGAGGATGGCACACAAGGGTTCCAGCAGCCCATTGACCCTGGAGTATGACAAGCAACTGCTTAGTTAGCAGAAAATAAATCACTAGGACTGAATTTTTCAAAAGGAACTTTTGATATTTGAGGCTCCTCCGACAGCTGTGCTACACCATTCCAAGAGCACGCTCTGGTGCCACCACTGCTTCCTCAAACTCACACGGATTGTTTCGACACCCTCGGAAATGACAGTGGCTGGTAATTAACAGTAACTCAATCAGAGAAACCCACATGTTTTGAGAGTCAGCAAAGTCCACAGTGACCACTCTGTCTACCCTGGGAAGCTGGGTTCTCTCCAGCCCTCCCCTGCTCCTTGCTCCATGCGTGCTTGTTCTGCTCACCAGGGCACTCTCTTGCTTTTTGATCAAACTGGGAGAGCTCCCAGTTGGTTCCAGGAACACATGGCCTGGATGAACCAGAGAGCTGGGAATTGGGTTTATGCTGTAAGGCGAAGCCACAGCCTGAGCAGACACATTTCTGCCACCCCATGAGCAGGGATGGGGCCTTGGCTCTTTCACCCAGATATCTGGAGCATCAATTAGTGACAGAAATGGAAAGATGAGCTCCAACATTTTTAAACTGCCATGGTACATAATCCTCAGGAAAATGCCAAACCTCCTGGCCAAGTTTTCCTGTCTGTAAAAGGCAAAGTGCCTGAGGGCATCCCAAAAGGGTTGCCCTGTGGGGATGTCGGCGGGTGGCCACCCTCGGCACAGGTGTGGCACCCGCGTCCCGGCAGCTGATGACAGCGATGATGGGGGCGAGGAACATGAGAAGGGGAACACGCAGGGGCCAGTCAGGTGGGGAAGGGACAGCAACACTTTATCCCGTGCTACAGCAGCCTTGTGTCGAACCCTGGTTAAGGGCTCAGATGCCAGGAGAGCTTCAAACTCCCCACTGATGCAACAGCGGAGGAAACTGAAGCCTGACCCTGTTATGGAATCATCTCTTCCACTGACAGCAGTAGAACTGCATGGGAATGGCATGGGAATGACAATCTGTTAGGCATGATTAGGGCAAATATGGAGGGCTGAGAGGGCGGCTGGGCACTTACGCTTCTCGTTGGGCTGGGGCGTGTGGAAGAGTGTCAGCGGCCGCTCGCTGCAGGAGGGAGGCTTCGAGTCCATGCTCTTCTTGCGGGATAACAGCAGCTGTGAGTTCGACGCCGGAGTCTCTGGCACCGTGTTAAATATCTGTTAAAAATAATAAACAAGTTGTTCTCTGGCATCATCCTTCGAACAGGACAGCTGCCCACCTGCCTGGGTTGCACTACTCTACAGCCACTCTGCAGCGCAGCCTCTGAGGAAGATATGTGTTCAACAGGGCAATATTTTAGGTAGAATTTCCTAAATTCTACATTCCTGCTCTGTCTGCACTCCTCTTCTCTATTTTTCACCCAAGATGCACATTGCAGGATGGGAAGAACCCTGACACTCTGGCACTCTGCTGAATTTTTGGGGGTGCAGATGATGGCGAGTGTCCCAGACAGACCAGCCATCACCCTCCCCATGCCCCCTGTAGCACAGCCTCGGCGCCCACGCTCCCACGCCTGCAGGCCAGCTTGGGAAAGTCTTTGCAACTTTCAGCCACAGCTGTCAGAAAACTGAGTAATCACATTTTTCTCAAGGGGATGGAATTTTAAAACTGCATGAACCCAAAGAGAAGCAGTTTTGTTGGTTGTTGATATTTGGTTTTTTATTGTTCCTCTTCTGGATCCCCAGGCTCAGACAACAGCAGCCTCCATACCAGCTCTCTCAAGGTCTCACTTCATTGCTAGAGCTCATTAAACCCCATCCCTCAGTGTCTTTCCTGCTCTACCTGCCCCAGCCAGACAGTCAACCAGCACGGACAGAGGTTCCCAACAGGAAAACTGCATTTTGACACAGTTCACTGCCCGCTGCAGCATGGGGTGGCTCCTCTGGAGCACATGGCTGTTGCCACAGTCACTGGTAGCCATCACAGTGGCCACCAACAGCCATGGCCATGGTCACCAACAGCCATTACCACGGTCACCATCAGCCCTCTCCAGTGGCCACCACATGCCACCAGCGAGCGGAGCCGCTGCCAGCAGTTAACGGGTTTGTTTCATGAAACAACAACATCATCTTCACACACACACACACCAGCCCTCCACGATGATTCCTAAAAATCCCTGATTAAGTGCCAGGATGCCTCAGCCAAAAATGTCAATGTCCTATCCCTCCCAAAAGTGCACAGGGGCAGTGGGAAGGGCAGCGCTCGGCCCTCGAGAGGAGCTGATGACCCGTTCCCAGTGGATCAAGCATCACATGGCCAAGGACATCCCTCCCTGGCCTTTCTGAGGACATTGCTCCCCAGTCTCTCTGTCCATAGGGACTCCCTGTCTGGGCTCGGGATCAGCCCTGAAGCCGGTAGCTGGGGTGAGGCACAGGAATTGGAGCTGAATCCCTGTGTCCAGCTCCTGTGTGCACAGCAGGACCCCTGACCGGCCCTGTGAGCGCTTGGATCTGACTGCACAGTGGGACAGACGGAGAGATCATGGAGCCCTTCCTGGGGAGCTCTGCAGTGCTCATTCACACATTCCTCATGGGCTCAGGGATTAGTGGAGAGAGAGGCTGCCCCAGTCACACTCTCTGCAAGAAGCACCAAATGTTGTCACCCCACACGCCTGCCCACAGCCATTCCCACTCCGCAATGGCTGGTTCCCAGTCTCCCCATTGGAGTCTGGGGGCCAGTGTCTCCCCAGCCTCTTCCATGGATGATGCACCATGTTCTCTGCATCCCACCAGCCCTCCCCAGCCCCCAGCAGCTCACCAGCCCACCCTAGCACCTCACCAGCCCTGCCCAGTACATCTCACAGTCCCAGTTAGCCGGGCTATTCGTGGCTCACACAGCTGCACATGCTTCAGGTGCCTTCCCTGGCTCTGGGACCTCACCATGAGCCCTGTGCTCAGCAGGCTAAATACAGCTCCTGGGAGGCAGGATCCTCAGCACAGGGGCTGAAATCGGTCCCAGGGCACCCTGCCTGCCCTGGACTCCACTCCCCACACCCAGCACGGCCACTGCCTGCTTTAATGTGCTCCTGCTTTCAAATTGCTTTTCAGTAATAAATTCACCTTGGGAAATATAATGAAATATATAAACCAAGCAAGATAAAAGCATTAATTTATGAATTGCATTTTACACAACAATTCCCACGGCACACTTGAAAATAAACTTCCAGGTTTCTGTTTCAGGTTTTTGGGGGTTTTTTTGGTCTTTTATAACAAGAGAAGATACAAATGCTCTTCAGTGAGGAACTCAGTGACTAAAAGCAGCCTCATTTCAAATGCAGCTGGAACATCATTATTTTGCTAAAACCTTCAGCACTGAGATCTTACCATAACTTTGCATTTCTGTTAAAGCCCCCAGTCAGCCCAAAAAGCCGATGGCCTGCACTGCACCCTCAACACAGGCTCTCCAGCTGCTCTTGTGGAGGCAGGGAGAGGTGTGGGCAGCGCAGGAGGCATTACAGAGAATTAGGATATCTTTTATAATACATAAATGTGTTGTAGTCACAAGCACATGGAGGAAAGGCCGAGAATCACTCATGGATAAATCCTGTTAAGGTAAGTGGCATTGGGGTTCGTTAGGAAGTGCTGGGCAGCAGAGCAGGGCATGTGGCTCCTGCTCAGCTTCCTTAGGCTCCTGTTTGCTCCATTGCAACACCTGGCAGGCAAACAGAGCCATCGTCCCTTCCTCTCCAAGCCCTAATCCTACTCCCATCCCAAGGTTATTCCACATTTCCAGAGGATCTGGTGTCAGACTGGCCCAAAGGACAGCAGTTCCCAATGGTAGCTCTAATTTAAAGACAAATGCAAGGGATGTAACACCTTGATGCATAGGGATCTTCCTGAGGAGAACATGCCTGAGCTCCTCCATCCCAAACCAATACCACAGCCTTTCTGTGCCCACAGAAGCAATATCTCCAAGAATCAGAGATCCTGTCTCCCTGACCCCAATGGCTGCATGTTTGAGGCCCCACTGCAGCCCCATGCAGCTGTGCCCCAGGACTGCTGCCCACACCACACAGAGCAGAGGTTCAGCCTTGCATGTGAACACACAACAAACCTGTCCAAGATGTCCCCCAAGATGCCTGTGAGCAAAGTCCCATGTGACAGCTGTGATGCCACCCTGCACCACCACCCTGGTCAGGGCAAGCTGGTCTCTACTTCTACCTTTGCAGCACAAATTAGTTACTTCTTTCCAACCAAAACCAGACTAACAAAAGAGCATAATCATGGAACTGGATGAATTCAGAAGAAAATGGTATATTTTAGCACATGCAGTCACCCCATGCAGCCAACTGGGAGGGACAGCCAGCACGATGGCCCCACCGAGCCACCACTGCTCCACTGACAAACAACATCCTCATGGCCAACAAACACAAATGCATCAGGATTCAGGAGATCAATGCTATGGATAAAGCCAGTACTTGATAAAACCAGATTTAGTCAGCAAAGCAGGAGCCAGCCAAGGTGTACATCTTGCACTAGCTTCCTTTAGTGCTCATCTCTCTTGAAACCAAGGACAAATTTCTACTAAACAGTGCAAAAGGGGGAGAAAGGGGATTTCTGTGATGGAGGCACAGACATGCTGACTCATACTGGGATGCCAGGAACAGCTTGGTTACCCAACTGCACCCCAGGAACAGGTAATTTTGGCACCTCTGTGCCCTCTCCTGAGCTGTGTCCCTCACTAGTGACAGTGCCAGGGAGGTGCCGGCTGTCCCTTCCCTGGCACAGCCCCCCCACCTGCAGCAAAGCTGCCAGTGCTGCTGGTTATAGGGAATGAGGGGGGCCCTGGGAGAGGGGGCTCCCATTGGGAAAGAGAGACCAATTCCTTCCCATAAATAATTGACACTGAAAGAAGCCAGGGAAGCCATTACCTTCTCATGGTTTTCTATTAAAATTTCAATCACAATGTTCTGGAATTTGATGTCCATAATGGCAGCGACTGTTTCCTCTTGAGGTCGAAGCAGCGTCGGCCCAAACACCACACCCAGATTAGCAACAGTCATCAGGTTCTGCTTGTGATTATCTGCAACTCTGGGAAAAAATAAAAAGAGAAAGAAAATGAAGTAGGTGATGGAACTAATCCGCAGGGAACCCCCTCTCTGCTCTCCCTGACTCGTGGCTGGCACAAGGCTTACAACCCTGTTTACATTTTTTACGCTCCTGGTGAGCTCCTTGAAGGCTCAGCCATGTGGAAAAGTACAAATTTAACTGTTGTGTTCCTGGAGACCTTTCAGCCTCCATGAATTGACTAATCCCACAAAACCCCAACCCTGCACCGGCCACCGAGCCTCATGCTGCAAACCACTCCCAGAAAAACATCTTGAATCATTAATGCTTAAAACCCTTCTGAAAACAAATTGTTGGACCTCTGACACACGCTGCTCTCCAACTCAATGAGTGACCTCATATGTTCCAAAGGCCAATTCCTTCTCAGCCATTCCAGCGCTGGGCTGCACCAGAGGTCAGCCCCATCCAGGTCATCCAGACTGGCTGGGAGGTGACAATGGGTCTTTACCCCCAGATCCCCATGGCCCACGTCTGCCCTTCTCCATCCTGCTGAGGAACCCACCTGAGATGAGGACCCGCTCACCCAGGGACCCACCAATATTCGAGCTTCCTCCCTGCCACCTCCATCTCTTTTTTGTTCACGAGGGCACAGACCAGTTCAGAGAAGTGAAGCAGCTCACGCTGAGGACGTGCCACGGTGTGTTTGAGGGGTTAACTTGGAGCAGCTCCAGTTGGTCCCTGGTCTTAGTGATGCAAATCCCCATCAGTCCCAATGGGGCACATCCTATGCTCTGTCTCACCCTGAGGATACCGTGCACTGAGGACACACTGCATGCAGGAGGCAGCCCAGTAGCCCCCATCCATGTCAGACCATGGATGCCAGGGACCAGGTGCTCGGCTGCTCCGTGGCACAAGCCTGGCTGTGGCATGGACAGAACTCGCCGGGTACCATGGAATCTGCTGAGTCACGCGGGGACACGCGTGCGGGCGGCGCAGCCGGGACCTGCGGCGCAGCCCTGCAGCCCCGTCTCCCCGAGTCTTTCTTGTGGTTTTCTCCTCACCTCTTCAACCAGGAAACACAGCAGCTTCAGGCTGTGTGCTCACACAGTTTTAGCCTAAGGGGGTTTTAGTGTCTTTTCCCTTCACTCTTTCTCTCCTGTTTCCATGGATAAATGCAGCGGAGGAGCACAGAGTGAGGCTGGACTGCCCCAAAAATTCATTGCCACGAGCTTTTACTATTGATCTTGGGGCCAAGATATTTGTGGGCATACTCAGTGTATTTCAGCACACTGTAAGCACAGGCTGGCTTAAAAGAAAAGATGCTTTCCATCCTTTTCCATCCAAATCTCACTTGAACCAGAAAGAACTCATTCCTCATCTCTATATACAGCTCCTCAGGCAGCAGATGGGGACCTCAGCACAGAGTAGGGCTCAGTGCTGCTGGTCTAGCTTCTCCCAACAGCAGCATCAGCCCTACTTACTGCCCAGGCAAGAAGCCTCACTTCGGTGCATGTTACATCCCTGGAGAACAGGCAGAGCTGTCACCTCCACCGAGTCTGCGCTTAAAGGTGGGAGGTCCTGGCCAAAGCCCCTCAGGAGCTGGTGGAACCTCCCTCTTACCCGTAACTCCCCCCACTGTCAGGAAGCTCTGAATATTTTATCACAAAAGTGCGGGAAATCTCCAGTGTCAGTAAACGCTGTGGGAGATGGGCTGCCCTGGAAACGGGCTCCAGCACAGAGATGACAACTTTGCCAGTGCTGAGATGATGTGCTGCCCACAGGGCTGCTGTCATCCCATCCAGGTTGGACATTCCCATCCCCAGATGGGCACGGAGCCTCTCCCCATCCCCATCCCCATCCTCACCACAGCCAAGAGTACACCAAGCTGTGCACTGCAACACTGGCACCACCCACCATGACCCGCAGAGCTGGGAGAGGGGGAGCAAACTTTCCTTAGGGAGTCACAACCCCATGCAACAGTGAGAAAGGCAGAAGTCCAGTAAGAAACATTATATGCTATATAATACTTCTACGAGGATTCAAACCTTCCCCTCACTCCCACCCATCTCCTCACCAAGACACTTACAAACCCCAAAGACATTTTCCAATTGCAACATCTACATTTCAAACGCACATTCACGTGCTCCTAACTCGATTTGGAAAAACACAGCTGCAATTCAAATGGCTTTGAAAAGTACTAATAAAATAATAATTTTAGTGATCTTCTGCGGTTAGTAAAACAATGTTCATTTATTAAAAAAAAACAATCTAATTGATCTAAGTCATACAAAATTAGGTCCCTCCATTTCTCATTACCGTTACCATGTCCTACATCACTCTAATAAATTGCACTGTCACCAGCTCATTAGGGTGAGGCAGCTGTGCGTGGCCCTGGTAATTATTTCAGACTGAGCTATTAATGGCTTCCCAGGCAGGACATGATCCTGCAGCACCAGCCACGGACCTGCCCTAGCAATGCCCACACGGGTGGCCCCTTGCCTCCATCACCAAACTCCACTGTGTTTTATTTTGCCTCTGGAAGTGTGGGAGCCATTCTGCAGCTATGCAATCTGGCTCCTTTCTGGAATAAACCTTAGTGGCACATGAACTGATCTGCATCCTGGGTACTTTTCCAGCAATAGCCTTCCCCACACTGGGTCACCACAGCTGTGCTCCAAAACATGATTCACCTTTCACATCCTTCAAATTCCACAACCATTACCCACAGGATAATCTACTCTAAATTATACCTCTTCATCATCTTTTGTACTAGGAAATAATGCCACAGTTTCTAAAGATGGGGTGTTCTCAGCCCAAAGTGAGCTTAATGCTGGGGCTGTTCAGCAGGGACTGGCAGCGCCATTCCTGAGCTGCCCTTTAGAAGGTTTCCAAGCATTCACTGTATTTTCCTTTTAACCTGCTGTTTCTTTCCAGTCCTCAGTGCACTTTGAAAGAACTGCACTAACATTAACTTTGATGGGTCCTTTTCCCACTCCCTCTCCATACCCACTTTGGAGGAGTCACATCCAGCACAGGGAAGAAGCAACAATTAATGGAGGAATGTGCAGAACCTCTTCACTCCTGCTTGGGGCTCCCAACAGGCCAAACTACCACTGGCTTTTGGACTCTGGGCTGTGCCTCCTCCTCTCAACACATGATGCCTCCCTCCAGGATCAGTGGGAGATCAGCCTGGCAGTGTGGGACAGTCCTTGGCCATGGGAATATCTGCGCTCAGCAGTGCCTCACCAACGCGCAGCTCCATGAAGGCCTGACCCACTTGGTGCTGACCCAGGAGCTGTGCTGGATGCTGCCAGCACCCAGCCAATGGCACTGAGACCGAGCCTGGGACACCCTGGGCCAGGAGCCCAGCGCTCCTGTGGGAGCTCCATCCCAGCAGGTCATTCCCCAGGGTGTCTGTGGACGCCGCTCACTTTACACTCACTTTCAGCAAAACAAAGGAGAACAGGAGCGGAGTAAATCCATGTTGTGTGTTAAATTAGATTATGCCCAGGTTGCCTGGATACCGTATAATCACTGCCATGACCAAACACAATTTAATACAGGGTAATTGGTAGCCAAGGTTCAGCGCAGGGAAAGCGCAGGAACAGTAAATATTCCCTGGCTGCGCTGGCTCGCGGTCGGCACTATGTGGGAGAGGAGAATGGCAGCGGGTGCCATGGGCAGGCAGCACAGCGTGGGCCCTCACTCCTCTTACCAAGATTAATGAATTTGGTCTTTTCACCCTGCTCAATGGCTCAGACTCATTTTCACTAAGACCCAGTTAAAGAATTCACTTGCTTCTCCAGCAAACTACACAGGTGCTTCCAGTCCTCCCATTAAGAGCCAGCACTGCAGCTGAACATCATGCACAGGGCCCAGGACAACAAAAAATAGACCAGCATGAGACTTCTGGGCTCTGACCTGGCACCAGTGGGATCACTTGACACTGGTGGACACAGTCCAAGCCCCTGCCCAGCACACTGGGAACCAAGAGCCACAGAGCTCCATGGGGGCTGCTCCAGTGGATGCCACGAGGGCACCCGGCTCTGCTCCCCACAGAACTCCTGTTTCCTGTGTCTGGAATACATACTTTGTGCATGTATTTTATATATGTGTATAAAATTATATATATATAAAAATTTTTGTGTATGTATTTTATATATAAAATACATGTATCTGCATATCAGCCCAAAGTGCCATTATTAGTTCAAATATCTTCCCTGATTCAGAAAAAAATCTCTGAGCAAACAACCATTTGAAGGGAACAAAGGCAAAGTCTGGAGTGTTTCTATTTCTATGCCTGGGACAAACCTTTGAAAACAAAGTGCTTGTTGTGGCTGGCCTAGCAAGTCCTTAGAGGATGGAAAATAATGCAGCTAATTCCTATTGCTACAGGTAAAAATCCATCTCTTGTCTGCCATCACCAATAGAGCTGTTTAATGTGAAAAGCCAGTCACACAGAGGCCAGTAATTCCCAAAATTATTTAGGCTGCTTTGGGTAGTTTGACAGAAATTAAACACTCACCTTTGACTCTGGATGTGCATGAGAGGTAAAAAGCAGAGGGAGTGCAGGCAGCACGCTGGGATCTGAGGGGGGCCTGTGGATCCACCATCCTGGGTGGGGTGTTGGTGCATGGCAGAACTGCACTTACCCCATGCTAGTGAGAGCCCACCAGGGCGGCAGCTAAGTTCCCACCCAGTTCATCCAAAGAATCATAGTATCATGGAATCATTCAGGTGGGAAAAGCTCTCCAAGATCATTGAGTCCAGCCATTCCCCCAGCACTGCCAAGGTCGCCACTAACCCACGTCCCCAGCTGCCACATCTACATGGCTTTTAAATCCGTCCAGGGATGGTGACTCCACCACTGCTCTGGGCAGCCTGTGCCAGGGCTGGACGATCCTTTCCATGAGAGAAATTTCCCTAATATCCAACCCAAAACTCCTCCGGCACAACTTGAGGCCATTTCCTCTTGTCCTGTCGCTTGTTATCTGAGAAAAGACCAGACCTCCACCTCGCTCCAT